AAAAAAAAAAAAAAAAAATATTCACATGAACAATTTTACACAGGTATTTTGTAGAAGTAGCCATCTTTGATTTTTTTTTAATCCTATTACCATGGTTTTATCTTCTATTCTGTATGTTAGTTAACTTTGCTTTTATTTTCTCTGGTTCTGAAAGGCCCAATATCCTACTTAAAAAATCAAAAACAAAAACAAAACTACTCTAATCTTTTCCTTTAACATTTTCAAAAAGTTGTGCTTTCTGTTGTTTTGTGGCTGGGGATGGAACCAAGGGCCTCACAATGTGTTAAATACATGTCCCATCAATGTTAGGTACATGTCCCATGCTGAACCATATAACTCCAGACCCAAAGCCTTCTTTTTCTAAAAGCTGAAAGATGATGTCTATGTTCACTTATGAGCATACGTGCAGTGTGTAATCATGTAGTCTGGTGATAGCATTTCCATCTTGAATTTCTTCATTCCTGTGTATTGGGAACATGCAGGTCCTTCTCTCGTAAGTTGTTGTAGATTACAGTTATCCTACCAGGTTACAGAACATTAGAACAGACTTCTTTCCTTCTAACTGCATTTTGGTACCTATTATCTACCTTTCAAAAACATCTGCCAAGGGGCTGGGGAGATGGTTCAGGAGCCAGAGCATTAGCCACTCTTCTTGAGGACTTGGGTTCAGTTCCCAGCACCCACATAGCAGCTTACAGCCATAACTCCAGTTCTAGGGCATCTGACTCCCTCCTCTGTCCTCCAAGGCTGCTGAACACACATGGTGTGTTTACAAACACGCAGCAAAAGACCCATACATATAAAAAATAAAAATAATTTTTCAAAAGGCATCAGTTGAATTATTTTATCATTGTTTTCAGTTGTTAAGAATGGTTCAGGATGGGGAACAGTTCAGTGGCAGAGTACTTGTTTAGCATGTGTGAGGCTGTGGTCCCTAGCATATCCCTGTCTCTCTAACATGTTTAATGTGGTAGGCAAGATTTCACAAATTAGAGATGCAGAGTGAGAAAATTTACACTTTAGAAAAGATGAGGAAGGGCTTGGAGATGTTTATCAATGGATAAAACACCTGCCACATAAGTGTGAGGTCTGGAGTTCAGATCTCCAGAACCCAGGCAAAAGCCAACCAGGCATGGCAGCTGCTTATAACTTGCACACGTATGGTAGGAGTGGGATCTTCAGAGCAAGCTGGCCAGCTAGACTCTGAATCAGGGGAGCTCAGGGCTCAGCAAGAGACTTGCCTGGGAGAATGAAGTAGAAAGTGACCAAGGAAGACGTCTGATGGCAAACATGTATGTGCACATGTACGCACACCCAGGAGCTCAGGTGCCCACATGCATGTAAACATGCGAACATGCACACACTCCACAGCCACATATGCACACAGGAAGTGAATTAATGAAAAGAAACGCAGTAGACAGTAGAACAGAGTTTAAGGAAGAACGACAGACAGGGATCAAGATAGAGTGGAAAACTAGGGCAACTTCGGGGGCACAACCAAGAGAGTAAAAGAAATCCTGAACTTCATTTGAAG